GTAGTCCCACCCGCCGCTTGGCCCGCCCCCTCTGAACTGGATCTCAGACTACGCCCCTTTCCGCAGCTTTTAAGGTCTGTGGGAGCCTAGTTTCTTGTCTCCGGTCCTTGCACCCGGGCAGGGGACTGGTAGCGCAGTCTTTTAGCAGGAACCCCTCAACTATCCCAGAAAAGAAACCACTTTGAACTGCCATGCTGGAAGACGTGGCGGTCCTTCTGAAATAGTGAGAGAGCTGCACGTGTGCGAACCTCCCCCTGGACCAGGTCCATCCCGTGTGGATTTGTCTGTATTTGTCTGTTAAGGGCCGATTAGGTTTCCTTGTACCCCATGGGCCTGCGTCTGTCTACGCTACATTCTTCCTAACCCAGGACATTGAGCCTGAGATCGGGCTTAGCTGAAAAAGCGGAGTGTGAAGTTCACCAGGACTTCGATCATCATCTTTGGAATAGGTGTTTTGAGGTTTGTTTCTCTTGAAAATTTTTACTTGAGTGCTTTCTTATCTTACAGGGATGCAAACTCTGTTGATGTAAGTGGTGGTTTGGAGACAGAATCCTCTAATGGAAAAGATACACTAGTAAGTATTTATGAAGATTTGTAAGGCAAAATAGGGTTTGTTTTTTAAGTTTTTAAGCGAGTCAAAAATACAATCAGGTCAACTAACTTGATTCTCTAATTGCTCTCTGGACACAGGAAGGTGCTGGGGATACTTCTGAGGCGATGGATACTCAAGCCGGCTCTGTGGATGAAGAGAATGGCAGACAGTTGGGAGAAGTGGAGCTGCAGTGTGGGATATGTACAAAATGGTTCACAGCAGACACCTTTGGCATAGATACCTCGTGAGTATTTTTTGTAGTCTTTGTAAGAATCGCTTTGTAAAATAGATCTTTACGTGTTCAACACTTGAGTAGTTTGTAGACAAATATAAATGTATAGTTTTTCCTGTGTCTCCTAACCATAGTTCAGTGAGTAGTAGGATTTGAATCAGGAGTTCTTTTAATACCCTGATCACGTTTTCTACCTACTGAGAGCTCAGCCTCAAGAGGTACGATGATAGATATTATCCCTGATTTTGAGCTTACAACATTTTGAGACAAAACTGTGCAATTACAAAGTATTATATACACAGACTTGAGACAGTATCATTTAAACCTTGTATTGGGTGTTGTGGGTTTTGGGGAAACGTTTGGTGCACATGGTGGACAAAGCATGATGTCAAAAATTTGAGATGACCCTTCATGCCTGAATCTCCTTTCTTAGCTTTTGCTTCTAACTCCCTTTAGACATCCTGAGTTCTCTCAGCAAAACCTATTTCCAGTCTTTTACAAACTCTTCTAGTGAATTAAAATAGTTTTATGACTGATTGAGAATGAAAGGCTTCTTTCCTTATCGATAGCTAGTAAGTGACAATTACTGACTCTGTCTATGGTATTAATTTTACTTCTGGCTATTTATGGTCCTTATAATACAAGTAAATTTAGACAGACTGTCTCAAAATAAGACTGCATTAATAAATTAATTTCTTTGGGTGGGATTGTGAAGAAATATCATTTGTAATTTGTTGAATGCTTTCTAGTTAAAAAAGATAAAGTGGGTTTTAGAAATGCTAATGTTCCAGTTAACATGTGACTGGTGACAGGCTAGAATGTTTACAAAAGAAAGGAAAGTACTGAAGGATTATGAAGAAACAATTGATCTTGGTAGAAAGATCTATAGGGAAAATAAACTAGCTAAGCAAATCTTGTCACTTAGAATAAGACCAAAAATCTCACCACTTTGGCCAAGGAGGATTGGTTTGGATAGACAGGACCTAGGAAAGGAAACTTACTGGGAGAGAGAACTTGGAGAAATCCAGGGAAGAATCAAATCACAGTTCAGACTTTTGGTAGAGACCAGTTTGTACCTGAATTTGAGAAGTTACACCTCAAGCCCAGCTAAGTGGGACAGCTTATCTTCTACAGCTAAGGAGGAAGTGAGCTAACAGGGTATGAAAAATACTGTTCTAAACATCTGACTGTGCTTGAACTGAATAACTGTATACCTACCTACCTCTGGTACAAGGCTTTGCCTTCTGTAAATGAGTTTTTCACAACAAGCTGTTTAGCAGGGGTTCTAGAGAGAAATAAAGGTAAGGGCACTCAGTCTTAATTTCCATAAGAATGTTTCTCAGTTTCTTGTGTGGTGGCAATGGACGCACACTTGGGAGCCTTCTTTTTAAGGATACCTTAAGCTAGTTTCAGCAGAGTCCAAGATAAACCTGCCTTTGCCTTTATTTTGATTTCTTTTCTTCCAGCTTAAATCGATCTTTTTATTTTTCTGTTACTTTCTCTTTTTGTAAATATTTTTTTTGTTGATTTTTAGAGAGAGATGAAGGGAGAGGGAAAGAAACAGAAACTTCGATCAGCTGCCTCCTGCACGCCCCCTACTGGGGATGGAGCCTGCAACTTGGGCATGTGCCCTGACCCAGAATCTAACCAGAGATCTTTTGGTGCATGGGATTACTCTCAACCAACTAAGCTACACCGGCCAACGCTGTCACTTTCTTTTTTTCAAGACTGAGTTCTCTTATACTTTTCTCGTCATCCAGTACAATCACCACCACAGTTTCCTTCTCTACTGCATCAAATTTCTCAGTCACTGCCATATTCAGTTTCTCTCCCTCCGCTGGCTGCTTCATCTCTATTTCAAACAGACAAGTTTTGTCTTGCTCCTGAACTCCCCTCTTCTAGAGATTTCCTCTTTATGATACAAGCTGTCTTAAGTGGTTAGAACTCCTTTTACTTCCTGCCCACCTAACCCCCACCCTTCCATTTAATCAGCCACTAAGCTTGACCAATTTCTTCTACACTTGCTTGTCATTTCCATTTTTTTTTTTACTATCACTCTAGGTGAGGCCTTTTTTACCTTCTGCTGGGGCTGCTACAGAAGCTTTTTATATGCATTTGCTTATTCTAATCTGTTCCTCCCTTCATACCAATCCTGTTACTAAATTTATTATTTTAACCATGTCACTTCCCCTTCAAGAAGTTCTCCTTACCCACAGAAAAAATCCAAATTCACCTGAAGGCCTCATACTTCAAGCCTTATTTATTTATTTATTTATTTATTTATTTATTTATTCATTCATTTTTACCAAATCTTCTCTCCTGGACAAACTTGTTAATACCTGTGCCACCTAGTTTGCACTTGCTCATCTCTACATATATAGTTCACCTAGAGAAAAGAGAAGTGACTCATTTTCCCAAACCTAGTTCATAACTTATGTCTTGGAAAAATCTTCCCTAACTCTCCTTTTTTTTTTTAAGATTTTTTTATTGATTTTTAGAGAGAGAGGAAGGGAGAGGGGGAGAGAGACAAAGAGGGAAACATTGATGTGAGAGTGAGATGTTGATCTGATCCCTCCTGCACTCCTCCCACTGAGAATTGGATCTAGCTCGAAACTCAGGCATGTGCCTGACTGGGATTTGAACTGGCAACCTTTCGGTGCATGGGATAATGCCCAACCAATGAGCCATACCAACCAGAACAATCTTCCCTGACTGTTAAATCTGAAGTTACTACTTGGGTCCTTTAAACTCTTATAGACTAATTACCATCTGTAGGACTCATTTGGTAATGAGGCAGGTAATGTTTTGTGAGTTCTGTGTTGTCTTCTTGAATAATGATTTACATTTTAAATTGATCTTTTCATACATTCTGTCTGCCCTTTCCAACAACAGTGTTATTGGCACTTTAAAGAGATATTTGAAGATCTTTAAATATAAATACTTAAATTTAAAGATATTGAAGAGACTACTTTGTCTTTTTCCACAGCTCACTTGGCATACTCTTTTTAGGTACTCAAAAACTACAATTAGCCCAGACAAGGTACCAATGAGAACCTTTCAAATGCTGAATTATCCAGTTTGGTGGATAATGTCTTATTAAATATTTTTGACAGAAAAATTCAGATATTTGTAAAAACACAACCCTATTTGGATTTTGGTGATCTTTTTAACTTTTAAGGTTATATTAATATATTAACATTTCCTGTATAACTTTCACTGTTGTTTTACTTCTCATAAAGAAGTAGTGTGTGTTCAGAATTTCACTAACTTGTACAATTTGGCTGTTCTTCAGATCCTGTTTACCCTTCATGACCAACTACAGTTTTCACTGCAATGTGTGCCATCATAGTGGGAATACCTATTTCCTCCGGAAGCAAGCAAGTAAGAACAAAGTACTCTGGAGTACTGCAAACGAATTGTCCTCTAGTTATCTGGGAAAGAAAAAGGATTTGGGCTTAGCAGAATCAGGAAACCCTTGCCTGGTAGCTGGTAAAAGTTGCATTGCAATTTAGCTCTGAATAATTGCTGTTGTCCATTTCAGATCAAATGATGACTCTACTTCTAGTTAATTTGTTAATTTTATTAATTTGTAGACCATATAGTTGAATATTCTTCTGGTAATAAAATCTAGTATTATAGATAACTTTTTCTTCCTTTTTGTTTTTGATAGACTTGAAGGAAATGTGCCTTAGTGCTTTGGCCAACCTAACATGGCAGTCCCGAACGCAAGACGAACATCCAAAAACCATGTTCTCCAAAGACAAGGTAGAGATGCAATTATGTAATTGCAATTATGCCAAAAAATCAGGGGGAACACCTACATAACTCTTTAATGATAAGTACTTTCCCCCAATTTTTATGAATATTATTACTAGATTCAGTGGTTACTTTGTTCTTTCATGTACTTTACTAACTTCCTAGTGTGTGTACATTATGTCACTTGGCCTAGCTATTAGTAGGATGAACCCTTAAATAGTTTTGGTTGGCTTTATAGAAGGAAATAACTGTCTAGCCCACAATTAATAATCAGATCTTGAGGTAAATCTTCTCAGCCTAGTGGAGCTGTTTTGTTGTTTTAAATATATCTTTATTGATTTCAGAGCGAGGAAGGGAGAGGGAGAGAGAGAGAGAAACATCAATGATGAGAGAGCCATTGATCGGCTGCCTCTTCCACACCCCCGACTAGGGATGGAGCCTGCAACCTGGGCATGTGCCCTGACCAGGAATCAAACTGCCATCTCCTGGATCCTAGGTCAGTGCTCAACTGCTGAACCACACCTCGCTGGGCAAGTTGAGTTGTTTTCATACCTGCCATCACGGATTTTGTCATGGGGAAAGGCAGTCAGTTTATATATGCCTCTTATTAAAAAGAATTATCTTTCCTTTTTAAACTGGGAAACCACATGACTGAAGTCAGGATTCAAAATTAGATGATTATTCCAACCATGAATCCTTACTGTGATTCATGGTAAGAAATATGAAAATTAAATAAATTTTAAAATGATAGAGTTTACTTTGTGACCTAGTATACATTCATATCTGCCCACTTTCATTTAAAACAAACAAGGTTCATCTAACAAGGCTTACTGACTCTGATCTTTTCCTTCTGCACTGTGACATTTTGTCTATAGAATAGTTTTGACCTATAACCTACTAATAGTTTGCAACCTACAGTTTGCAAGACACTGGTATAGGATGTGTAGTGAGATAAACATAGTCAGGATCAGACTTTGACAAGGGCCTTTTCTACTAAACAGAGAACTTAGGACTTAATCCTGTAAGCTGCAGGAGTCAGCAGAGGGTCTCCTCTTCACTTTCCTGCATTAAAAGTGCTTTAAATAGAGGTGTGCTGTGATAGACTTGTTTTTTCTTTTAGTTTAGTTTCCCCCAAATTATTATTTTGAAATTTTCAGATATACAGAAAAATTCATATAATACAATGAACATGTTTATTCTTTACCAAGAATTGCCAATTAATATTATTCTACATTTGCTTTATCTCCCCATATCTATATATCCTTCTGCTGTATGAGACTAAATTACAGACATTATACTTTACTTAATATTATCTCAGAGCCACAATAAATCATCCTTAAAAAAATTTTATGTTAATACAATTCAACTATCTATATGTACAATTTGTATTCTTTTTTTTTTAAGCTTTTTATTTTTTAATTTTTTATCCTCACCTGAGGATATGTTTATTATTTGAGGTGGGGGGCAGAGCAGAGAAACATCTATTGGTTGCCTCTTATACGTGTCCTGACTGGGGATTGAACCCACAACCTTTTGGTGTATGGGATATTGCTCTAACTGAGCCACTCGGCCAGGGCTACAACTTACATTCTTTTATATACAGTATAGTGTATATGTATTTTCAATATTATTATCATCTTAATAATAGCCGTCATAGCTTTTTCCTTCACCTAGAATCCAATCAAGGATTACATGTTACATTTAATTGTAATGTCTCTTTTGTCTGTAATCTGGAATAGTTCCTTTACTTATTTTAGGGGTGTTTTTTGTTTGTTTTTTGGTCTTCTATGTATGACATTTGAAATTTTTAAGAAAAATTTTAGGAGCCCAGACATTTTTGGCATGATGTTCCAAATTTGCATTGTCAACCAGTGGTCATTTGTGCCAATTCAGTGCCAACAGGAATCCCCAATTTGAGGTGCGTTAAAGAAGGCACTGACTGGTACAAAACAGCTTAGTTGTGATAAGCACAGCAGTAGCTTGGCTGTGAGGCAGCCCTGGGGTCAGGTGGCCCTGGGGCCAGTCCCTTCCCCAGGTAGACAGCTCTGCTCCGCTTTGTACCATTTTGCTCCCTTTCCTCCAGTCTGGTGAGACATCATTGGTGTTTCAGCTCAGCCAGGGAGACATAGTCTTCATAGAAACGGAAAGTGTGCTTTCAGAGCCAGAAGGGAGCTGGTTATATGGACACAAGTCCTCACCTCTGGTCCCTGATTGGTCTGTCCTCATGCAAATAAAGACTCCAGATCCTTGCAGTTTGATTGGTCCAAAAGGCACTTCCCTGATTGATTAGAATAGAGTCACTCTGGTTGGTGGGAGTTGCACTGCTCTGATTGGATGGGGAAAGCCTCAGTCCTATTGGTTGAAATAGGATTCCAGGAAACCTTTATAAGGGCTGGCTCAGATGGCGGAAACAAGTGCAGGCTGCAGTTCAGTGCAGGCCTCTCACTGAAGTGCAGTTTGCCTGAGTCCCCTGTGTAGAAAATGGCTGTTAGAAACCCCATTTATTTGATTGTTTCCTCATGATTAGGTTTAGGTGACACATTTTTTACAGGAATATTATGTAGGTAATGTGTGTTTTTCTGTGACCCATATCAAAAGGCATATCAGCATACTGTTTTATTATTGGTGATCCTAAATTTGACTACTTGGGTAAAGAGGAAGTATCTACCAGATTTCTCCATTATAAAGAAAGCTTTTTCTTTGTAATTATTAAGTAAGCTGTGGCATGATACATTGAAATTGTGTGAATGTCTTGTTCTCCTAACCCTTTCAAGCAGTGGTTTTAGCAACCATTAGCCTGCATCACTTAATAGTCAGTTGTAAAACAGAATGTATTTATTGGTTGCAATTATTCTGTATAGGGTTTTCCTTTTTTTTTTTTTCCTAGTATCGCTATGGATTTGTAGATTCTTATAGTTCATTATTGGACTTTGGATTTCTGGATTTCTGATGCTCAAATCTGACTAGCGTTGCCGCATCCAAGCCGATTCCTGAAACTCTGCTATGTCCCTGTAGTTTGTGAACTCTTCCTTCCTTTCTGGAACAACAGAATATTCCAGGCTTCCCTGGTAGTTTCCCTGATTCAATCCTGGTTCCTTTTAGTGGAGATACAGTTGTCATTGAACTAACTTAGTGGAAGGTGTTAGTGGTGCACTCTTAACTCTGGTGGACTCTGGAAGAATGGTCTAGAAAGGGGAAAGTTGATGCCTGAAGATCAAGCTCAGACACTGGTTTAGTCATGTAGGCTAGAACTGGTGAGGACACAGTCAAGGCAGTGGGAATGGGAATTTCTGAAAATTTAAAATTCATTTGGTGACTGATTAGATATGAAAGTTATGCAAGAAGAATCAAGGATGATTCCATGGTGTCTAGCTTGTGATTCTGGGTTATAGGTGATTCTAGTACTAACAGCAAGATAAAAATCTACAGAGCATATTTGTGAGGTAAGATATAGAATTCAGTTTTATTCACAAGAAGGTTGAGGTGCCTGTGGGATGTCCAGATGGAGATGTCTCAAGCAGGTAGAAACAGGAGGTCAGGAGAGAGACTTAACTTTGGAGTAATCTTTCAGATGTCAACCAAGAGTACAATCCAATGTCTGAAGCAGGTAGAAACAGGAGGTCAGGAGAGAGACTTAACTTTGGAGTAATCTTTCAGATGTCAACCAAGAGTACAATCCAACTGTGTTGATGAGGTTTGTATATATTTGTTTGAAATTCCCCACAATCTATATGTTGTTTACATTTAATTATGTATTTGTTCAGCCATTAAGACTAAACGTGGATTTTTCTCTTGATGCTGACAAGGTCTCTGAAAATGATGCGATGTTCTTTCCCTTTTTTTGTGAGCATAACTTTGAAACCAACAATAAGCATCTTAATATATTTTGTTTTAAAAAATTAGGATATCATACCATTTATTGATAAGTACTGGGAGTGCATGACGACCAGACAGAGACCTGGGAAAATGACTTGGCCAAATAACATTGTTAAAACAATGGTAAGTAGATGAAAATTGACTGGACTCAATATTTAGGCAGTGTTCTTTGTACAAATTAAATTCTCTTTAGTCTTACTGAAATAATGTTATGACTAAGAAAATGAGAACAACCTAGTATTAAATCTTGGAGAGTGCGGTATAACTAATTGTCAATTTTAATAGTTTTTACACAAAATCAGTAAGTTGCATATTGTGTCACATTGTGCCTGCATCACTTGCTTTTTATGACACTGAAACCCTTCAAGTATAATTTTATATTGAAATTGGAGACGATTTTTTTCTTTGATTTTAAAAAACAAATGACACTGTTCTAAACATTATTGTCCTTAGAATTAAAGAGCATCTGGGGAGGAATCAACAGCAAGCTGTTAACAGTGCTTATCTCTGAGGCAAAGGGAGAGGTGGGGATTATGAAGGATTGGCTCTTTTTTTTTTCTTTTTAATCCTCACTTGAGGACATGTTTCCATTGATTTTATAGAGGGAGGGAGGGGAGGGGGAGAGAGAGAGAGAGAGAGAGAGAGAGAGAGAAAGAGATGTCGATTGGTTGCCTCCTGTATGTGTCCCCCCTCGGGACTGAATCTGCCACCCAGGTATGTGCCCTGACTGGGAATCAAACGCCATACCTCTTTGGTGTACAGGATGACACTCCAGCCAACTGAGCCACCCAGCCGGGGCTGCCTCTCATGTTTTTAAGTTTCACTGTTAGAATTTTTTGATGATCATTTATTAGTTTTTTAATCTGAGAGAAAAAACAATACTGTTTTTTTTGGAGATTATACCTAAGAATTAGAGTTGGTGATTGATCATTCATTCAGTACTTTTTTAAAGTATAAAATTTCAAGTAATAATAAAATATTGTTTCCTTTCAGAGTAAAGAAAGAGATGTATTCTTGGTAAAGGAACATCCTGATCCTGGGAGTAAGGACCCAGAAGAAGATTACCCCAAATTTGGACTTTTGGATCAGGTACATTAATGTGCTTTATATTACCCTTTTGATGTTGGACCACTTGGGAATAGGGAATCCGCCACATATAACACACTGCCATTACTTGCCCATAACATGGTGGGCTCCAAATAAATCATCATTGGCACATGTGGAAAGATAGAACACTAACCTTGAACCAGGAGACTTAGTGTTTTAGTTCTGACTGTTCCCCAAAAAGTTACGACTTTATATATATTATTCTTACATTTTTAAATTTTCATTTCCTCCCTTGTAACATAAATATGCCATTCCAAGTTATTTTTAAATTTTCTATCTCAAATTTTGTTCTTAAAAACATTTGTTATTGTGAAGAAAAATTTCTTGTGAAGTTTTTTTGCATCTAGTGTAACCTGAGGAAAAAGAAAATTTCTACTTTGTTCAATGGCTGTGGTCCCATTTGGCATCTCAGGAGGTCAGATCTTCTTAAAATGTTTGATTTGCCAGCCTTGAAAATTCAAGATTTCACATAGAAATTCAGGTTTCAGTCTTTTCTTGTAAAGTGAAAAGGTCTGACTACACTGGGCCTCAATTCCTCCAGGGAGCTGAGTAAATGGGGCTTAGGCCCTCCAGTTGCCATTGCCCCACCATCACCCCTACCCCATGGTGATTGCCATTCATCATCTTTTTTTTTTTTTTAAGGAGAATTTTTATTACTTTTATGTTCAGAAAACTCAACAGTGCACGCTTAGCCTAGCTTGGTGGCCATTTCTTTAGCCTTGGCCTTTTGCAGCTTGGGAATGCAAGCCACCGACTTTGGACCCAGAACGTTGCCTCACCAATGGCGGCAGATCTCATATTTGTCATCGTAATTAGTCTAGATAGCTTCCACTGTTTTAGCCAGAGCTCCTTAGTCTTATGAGTTAACCTGTGTGAAGGTGACGGTGGTGCAGGTCTTCTTGGTACTAGATACCCAGCCTGGCCTTCCTCTTGATAGTGCAGTAGGGAACCCCCATCTTATGGCACAGCACAGGCAGGAAGACAGCCACCTTGATGGGCTTTACATCGTGTGCAGTCACAGCCAGCTGGGCCTTCCTGTTCTCCACCAGGGTGGTGACAGTGCTAAGCCCTGCTTGAAGGACAGGTGGCCTCTTGGTGGGGACGTCCTTTTTACTGACAGCTTTTTTCTCAGCCCCAACCAACAGTCTCTGCTTCCCTTTATCTCTGGTCTGTACTTGTGGGCCAGCTTAAGCTGTTGAGTAGTTGGCGGTCTAAGGCCTGAGTGAACTGGTTAATGGCAGGAGGCACTTTGTTGCTGCAGCCAAATGTAGCAGGGCCATTTGAGAAAGCGGGCGAGGTCCCTTTTGGGTTTGATGTCCTATCTAATGCCAAAATTCTTGGGCCTTTCTCAAACGGGATTTACTGCCTTCTCATCCTCCTGCTGCTTCACGCCAGCGGGGCCTGGCACCACTGTCTTTCCCCTTAGCCTTCTTTCTTTTCAGCATCTTGGGTGCGGAAGGAGAGAGGAAAGGGAATTGTCTCATCGTCTTTTTTTTTTTTTAATATATCTTTATTGATTTTAGAGAGAAAGGGAGAGGGAGAGAGAGAGTTGAAACATCAGTGATGAGAGAGTCATCATTGATTGGCTGCCTCCTGCACGCCCCTGACTGAGGGGTCGAGCCCGCAAACCGGGCCATTGGTCCTGATTGGGAATCGAACCGCAATCTCCTGGACTCATCATCATTCTTAAACCACTTTGATTCTTACACTTGACCTGTCTACTTGCTGATCTCTGAAGCATCCAAATTTGACTCTTTAGGATTGTCAGTTTCACTTCCCATTCTGTTAGAATTTCTCTTGTTGTTTTTTTTTGAGCATTGCCAGGTTGGTTTGATTATATAGCCTCCCATCATAATTGAGTATTTTTCTCTCTAGGATCTTAGTAACATTGGTCCTGCTTATGACAACCAAAAACAAAGCAGTGCCGTGTCTACCAGTGGGAATTTAAATGGTAAGTGTTTCATTGGCTCATTGATGAAATATTTGTAAGCTATTGAATCCATATGTGCCTAGAATTGGGCATTCTTTGGGTTGACTCTTAACTAGATACTTACTAAAATGCTTTTAAAGTCCTAAACTCAATTTTTAGGAGCTAGCCAAGGTTGTGACAGATGGTGGTGGAGGAGAACTCTTTGGCACTTTATACCACTGTTTGGGTCTTAAGGGAAACAGATGTAGCATAAAGGTACAATTTTAAGGTCAGGTTTACTGTGTTTACATTCAACTCGCCAGCAGCATCCTCATAACTAGTAATTTAGATTTAGTTGCTCTCCATCCTTTTTCCTGAATTCAGCTGTTATTTAACAAACTTCCTGTGCCCATCTTCCAATTTTCTTCCCCTGGAACTTATTAGCATGACAGCATTTTCTGTATTGATCACCCGCTATAGCATGCTTTTTCTATCGGTAACCCATCTAATAGCAGAAATGTCCTTCATTACTAAAGGTAATCTATGGGAGTTGGGGTTGCTGGGTGGTAGCTAGCTATTCATCGGACATGGCATCATTAACTTGTTTTTTGGAGCATTGCATCTAAAATATGTAATTATTTTCTCTTATTAATATTCTAATATTGGAAATAGCTAAGTGTATTGTTTATCTTTTTACACCATTTTCCCCCTTTTAATTGTTAAAATGTGACAAATACATGGTGCCACTTCTGTTGTTACAGGTGGAGCCTCTTTTGGAGGTGAATTCCTCCTCTGTCTTCTTTCAGCCTCTCAGACTTAAGTATTTTGTGGTTTGGAAAATGCTTTTTTGCTGAGTTGTGGTAGAAGCTAAAACTAAATTAAAATGTTAAAGCATTGTGAAAATGGTGGCAGTAGCACTTAATATGAGACAGTAGTTCCAGTTTAATATTAGTAATTAAAAGCTTGTACGTTGTCATGTTCTGCCTAACATGGCCAGAATTATTTTGTTAAGATGGATCTAAAACTTCTCTCTTAAAATAATTAAAATGCAAATGACAATAAAAACCTAACAGGTTTTTGATTAAGGTAACTCAGACTAAAGATTTTGATATTGCAACAGTTTAACATTAAACTTTTTATGAGAAAAAGGAATCATGCCTGATGTGTTCATAAAAGGAAGTTCTCCATAAATCTGGTCCTGTATATGCAGAATATGATGTGCCCTCAACGCCTCAATCCTTTTTATTGCAGCAGAACTGCTGATAATTTCCAAGCTTGCCCCAAATTAAGATACAGTACTATATGCAGTTGTTTACATAAAGGTGTTTTCCTGCAGTTCAGGGACATTTTCTGGAGGACAAACTAATTGAGAGGAATGACAGCATTGGACAAAAAGTTTAAAGTACCTTTTTCAGAAATACACAACGTAGTATTTCTTGTGGCCTTAGTATGTAGCTAAAATGTTGGGTTTTTTTAATGTGTATATTTTCTCTTAATATTTGCTCTTAATTCCACAAGTCAGGTCATCCAACATGAATTTTATGCATTGGCACAGTCCTAATAATTGTAAAAATTGCTTACTAAATTTAAAACCTTTCTTAAATGTGAGTCATACACACCCACAATAGACACCACAGTGGCAGCACTGGAGAGAAACACCTTTTCAGTACTTCTGTTTTTGTTTTCCATGTCTGATGTACTTTTGTCTTGTTGGATATTCAAGTTAAATGCTTTTGCCGATATTGTGCCTTTATTGTGTTTATGGAATATATCCTGTAGTTCAAGCAAGCGAACGTTCTACTTACAGTGAGGATATTCTCTCTTTATGAATGTTTGTATTGACTTGGATGGAAAAAAAGCTTTATCCATGCAGTTGTTTTTAGCTGTGGGTGTTCAGAATCTGAATGAGTCAAAATGCATTTGTGTCACATCCTCAGAAAGTGTACTGGTAATTGCAGGTCACTAAGAAAGGAAGGTTGAAAATGTAACACAGGTTCATTTGAGCTTTCTGCCAGAACCCAGTGTTCTGTGCTGCGAGATACTCAGCCCGGTCATTCAGAACCAGAGAGAAATCCGTTATGCTTTCAGGAAGGAAATCCTCCTGTGGTGTTACACAAATGCATGCTGGGAGTGTAGTCCCCATGAAATTTGTGTCCACGTGGTGCTTCTGTGACAGCTCATTGAAAGTGATCTGCCTTCTCTTCAAAGGGGGAATTGCAGCAGGAAGCAGTGGAAAAGGAAGAGGAGCTAAGCGCAAGCAGCAGGATGGAGGGACCACGGGGACCACCAAAAAGGCCCGGAGGTGGGCAGAGAACACTCACCTCCATTCACCACTGTTAGAGTAGTATTGTTTGGTGCTGGCAAAGTCCATCAGGGAAAAGAGCCATGCTTGTCAGTAGCTCAGATGTCTGACGTTAAAAGGCCTGTCCATTTTTCTCAAATCTTGAGCACTTTGAGGAGTAAAATAACCCCTGGCTAGGTATCCTGATTTACAAACTTGGTACTACATGAGCCAGCCCCTGGGCAGCACTCTGTTGATTAACCTGGGGAGTCAAGTTCTAATATGGCATTTTGAGAGAGGCTAGATGGAGGAGAGGGAAGGAAACCAATTGAACACAGGCTCTCTTACTTAAACTTTCTGCCTCTTCCCCCTCATGCCTCTTCCCTTCACTTTATTCAATACTGAGGTGATGACATCCAGGTCATTTATTTAGAGGATAGATAGTAAGTGCTTACTTTGCTGAGTTTCTGTTCATTAGTTTATAGTGATAAATACACTGAAGGAAATCCCCTTCATTCCTCTTCTCCCTTTCTTCCTTATGATGCACTGGCTTAGTGTCAGATACACAGATAGCCCCTGCAGACTGAAGTAATTTAACCAGAACTACTTGGCTAAATAAAGCAAATCCTTTTCATTTCTCTGTTTTGCCTGCAGAGGGCAGAATGGTCTATGTGAGTAATGAAAAGCATTTGTGAAGTTGCTGCTTGTGTTTCAGCTGAAAGCTAATAAATTTAGAGGCCTTTCTTTCAGAATTGAAGGCAGTTGAGCTAGAGGGGGTTTTAGTTTCTTGATTTTTATTTTTTTCCTTTCTGCAGTGACCCTTTGTTTTCTGCTCAGCGCCTTCCCCCTCATGGCTACCCCTTGGAACACCCGTTTAACAAAGATGGCTATCGGTATATTCTAGCTGAGCCTGATCCCCATGCCCCTGACCCTGAGAAGCTTGAACTTGACTGCTGGGCAGGAAAACCTATTCCTGGAGATCTCTACAGAGCCTGCTTATACGAGCGGGTTTTGTTAGCCCTACATGATCGAGGTATGTAAAGTATTAATGTTCGTGTTGGACCCATTGTTACCCTGAACTATTGTCATCAGCTTTGTCCAATCTAGAATTAGATATATGTGTTTGTCTATAACTACTCTTCTACACCCATCTCTAGACTTAGCCAGAATGTGCAAGAAATAATTTACTGTTTTGTCTCTCATAAGCTCTAGCCATTGTATACACACATGTACACACATATGCACATATACACATATGAAAACTCTATTTTGAACTAATTTTAAACTTACAGTAAGGTTGCAAAAACTATAGTTTCCATATATCCCTCATCGAGCTTCCCTTAGTGGTAATATCTTATACAACCATAGTATAATTATCAAAATCATGAAATTAATGTTGGTAAGAGCTATTAATGACACTAAAGGTTTTATTTAAATTTCACTAATACCTCTTTCTAGGCTCTCACATTGCATTTAGTTATTTCTCTGTAGCCTCTTGCAGTCTTCAACAGTTCTTAGTAGTTGCTTGTTTTTCATGACCATAACTTTTTAAGTGTATCAGTTTTTTATCTGATATTTCTTGGTGAGGGTTTCTCTTTTTCTCATAATTAGACTGAGATTATGCATTTTCTGGAAAAACACTACAGAAATGAGTCCTCATTGCATCATCTCATGGAGTTTGTGAGGTCAATAGTCTTCTCATTGCTTTTGTTGACCAAGATCATTTTGTTAAGGTGGTTTCTGCTGGCTTTCTCTGCTGTCTTTCCCTTTTTTCTTAATAAATATCAGGGAAAGATACTTTGAAGCTATGCAAATAACTTGTTTCTCTATAAAATTTTACACACTAATTTTAGCATCCATCAGTGGCTCTTCTTTGCAGCAATTATTAATGTGGTGTTTGCCTGATGATTTTTTATTTCTTCCCTTTTCCATTTATTTACTTGGTTATATCAGTATGGACTCATAGATTTTTATTTTATCCTGTGGGTTGTACTTCATTTTGTTGCTCAAATTATCCCATCTTTAGCCATTAGGAGCTTCTTGAGGTTGGTTCCTGTGTTCTTTTGATAAGAGTCATCGTTGTTGTTTTTTGTCTGTTTGTTTTTTAGTACTTCCTTACTTTCTGGCATTACAAGATATTCCTGGCTCATCTGGCTGGTATTTTCCATGCCCAGGTGAAGTATCAGCTACTTCTCCAAGGAGCCCTGGCTCTTTTTATTGAAGAATGGTGCTTAGAAACCTGATTTTTTAAGACTGTTAGGTATGCTTACTATTACTGGGTGTCGCTTCTAGCCTCTCTCAGAAGTAGGAAATGTATGCATGTACTGACACATATACACTAGGTGGTACTGAGTTTACACTGGTACCTTGGATTCCAAACCACAGGGTTGTTCCAGCCTTCCACCTTTCCTTCTTTGTAACTTCTTTCTACAACAGGAAGAGACCTAACTCTTAATATCTGCACTATATTTACTTGTTTGTTCATTTCTAATATGCGCATAGAGTAGTTTCAGAATTGCTGACCCTGTGAGAAGCCTTCACTAACTAGAGTGCAGCATTTACTATTAACTTGCATTAGTTCTTTTCTTCCCCACCGCCTTCAGTGGGTTGTGTTTCCCATTTGTAATGCAGTTAGGCTCATTTGTTAGTGTTTGGTGGGTTCTCCCACATCTCGGGGGTGGTGGGGGCAGTATGTAAAAATTAGTATGGTTCTGAGAATTAGAGCCGTACTAGAGGTTTACTCAGTGTGTCACTACCTCCTCACTGCCCCCCCCTTCTTGTTCCCCTTTTTCCCCACCATTTTCTCACCCATCTCCTATAGGTATCCAGCCTCTTTAGTTTCTAGTTTGTCCTTCCTGTATTTCTTCTGCACAAATGAGCAGATACATGTATATTTCTTATTATCTCCTTTTTCATGAAGGGCAGCATACTATAGATACTTTTGCATTTTGCCTCATGCAGTTACTCTAAATCAGTTAGTTCAAAAACATCAACCTTATTTTCTTTTTTTAGCTTCATGATGCTCCATTATGTGGATGTACATAGTTTATTCAGCCACTCAATGAATGGGCATTTAGAGTGTTTCCAGTATTTTGCAATCACAAACAAAGAAGCAGTGAATAACTATGAGCATATGAATTTTTGTACTGTTGGTGGTATATTTTCAAGGTAGAATTGTAGAAGTGGAATTGCTGGACCAAAAGGTAAGTGTATGTGTAGTTTGGTTAGATATTGCCAAATTTCCCTTCAGGAAGTGGTGCTAATTTATGTTCCCACCAACAATGTAGAAAGTGTTTTCCCATAGCCGTGCAAACAGAATGCGTTGTCTTATTTTTATTTTGGCCAGTCTGATAGGAGAGAAATGGTATTTGTGTTGTTTTAATATGTATTTGTTTGAGTTGGAATAGTTTTTCATGTTCAAGAGTCTTTATCTCATGAAATACCTGTTTGTTTGCTTTTCTCATTTTTCTGTTGGGATTTTGGTGCTTTGTGCTTCTTTGTATTAGGGATATTAGCCCTTTATGGTATGGGTTGTAAAAATTTTCTCCCACTATGTCAGTTGTCTTTGATTTGTTTATGACTTTTTTGTCATGTAAAACTTTTAAATATATAATAGTTCTTTTTTCATTTTTTAATTTTTTTTAAAATATATCTTTATTGATTTCAGAGAGAGGAAAGGAGAGGGAGAGAGAGAGCTAGAAACATCAATGATGAGAGAGTCATTGATCGGCTGCAGCCTGCAACCTGGGCATGTGCCCTGACCGGGAATCAAACCCTGATCGCCTGGATCCTAGGTTGACGCTTAACCGCTGAGCCACGCCCAGCAGGGCTAGTAGTTCTTTTAATGACATAATTCATTTCATTACTAACAAATAGCATTCATTATCCTTTAGAATGTGAAAGTGAGTTTAAATTAACTGCTTTTAGAGGAGTATACTTCATGAATTTTTGTTGTTTTTGGAATATCAATGCAAATTCCAGATAGCATATTCATTTACCCAAAAAGTACTTTGTAAATCATAAAGGCCTAAAGCTACTTAATCTCAGTTTTGTGTTTCTTCCAATAGACTTCAGACAACTTCTAGAATGTTACAAACACCGTTTCAAATAAAATCAAGCTCTCACCTTTTATAACTTTTTCTTCACTTCCAAGTCACAATATCCCTTCCAATTGGTTTAAATTGGTCCCCTTATCTTACCTAATGGTCTCAGTAAGATTCAGACAATACACAGGGGTAGAGAGATGAGTACAGTGAATCTCCAAATACTCTTTGCCCAGATTTAACAGTTGTTGAGATTTTGCCATATTTACTTTATCTTTTCCTTTATTTCTATGTCTCTTTTTCCCCCTGAATTTTTAAGAAGTAAATCTCACCCTATATACTCTAAAAAATAAGCATTTCTAAAAAGCTTGGGTGGCCTGGCTGGGCTTGGCTCAGCGGTTGAGCGTCGACCTGGGATCCAGGTGATCGGGGTTTGATTCCCAGTCAGGGCACATGCCCGGGTTGTGGGCTCGATCAATGACTCTCTCATCATTGATGTTTCTAGCTCTCTCTCTCCCTCTCCTTTCCTCTCTCTGAAATCAATAAAGATACATTTTAAAAAGATAAATAAATAAAATAAAAAGCTTGGGTGTTCTCTTTTATAACCACAAAGCTGTTATCACACTTAACAAAGTAAATAATTCCTTGCTAGTGACAGTTCATAATCAGGTTTTCTTGATTTTCTCAAATATCTTTTATCTCCACACAAAATACTTACTAATTACAGAGGGAAAGTAGTAATTTTGTAGTGGAGAGACCTGGAAGGCATCACCTTAACCAGGTGATCGAAGTTCAGCATCACTGTTTTGACATCATATGCTTCTGTGTATAATGCTCTGAGAGGCACAGCATTACCTCAGTAGTGTTCTTGACAAAAAAAGCACAACCTGGACTTACATAGGAAGAAGCATCGGACAAACCAAAGTGAGGGCTGAGCTATTCTATAAACTAAAGTGACCAGTACTCTTCAGAATGTCACTGTCATGAAAGGCTTGAGGAACTGTCCCAGACTGAAAGACACTAAGAAGACAAGACAACTAAATGAATTGTGGGATCTTGGATTAGATCCAGGACCAGAAAAAAGGATATTATGTTGATAATTAGTTTATTTTTAAGAAGATAATTAATAGTACTGTATTAATGTTAGTTCTCTAGTTTTGATCATTATATTATGGTTATAGATGGTATTAACATTTGGGGAAGCTGAGTGAGATCTGTCTACTATTTTTGAAAATCTGAAATTACTTTAAAGTAAAAAGTTGTCTTAGCCCTGGTCGGTGTGCTCAATGGTTAGAGCATCAGCCTGCACACCAGATGGTTGCAGGTTCTGTTCCCATCCCAGGTCCAGGCACGTATGGAAGGCAAACAATCAACGTGTCTCTCTCATATCAGTGTTTTTCTCTTTTCCCTCCCTTCCTCCCTCTCTCCCCCCTCCTTCCCTCCCTCTCTCCCTTTCACACTCTTAAAAAAAAAAAATCAATAGAAAAAATATCTTCCGGTAAGCATTAACAAAAAGAAAAGTTGTCTTAAAGGATGGTTTACTTAAGTCGGGATTTAAACACGTTACAATTGGTGGTTATATTTCAGGGAATAGACCGTATAATTAATTTTAACTTGTCCTCTTAAACATATAATAAAACTGGACTACCTAACAACTTTCTTCCTCTCTCCGTCATCTTTGTCTTATGTTGAGATTTGTAAACTCTTGAACTAATATTTCCTATTCCCGACCTGATATTTCCGATCTTTGATTTTGTTTTACTGGGGTGTAAGGGACTCATATTTTTGTGGCAGTTGTCTTCCAGTATTTCAAATAAGTTGTAGGCCTTTGTTTTTATCTCCATCTCTGCAGCTCCCCAGTTAAAGATCTCTGATGACCGGCTGACTGTGGTTGGAGAGAAGGGCTACTCTATGGTACGGGCTTCCCATGGCGTACGGAAAGGTGCCTGGTACTTTGAAATTACGGTGGATGAGATGCCACCAGACACTGCTGCTAGACTGGGCTGGTCTCAGCCATTGGGTAAGCTGGGGCTTAAGTATAGACGTTGAAGCAAGTAGAGAGGTGTAAGACTATCTCGCTAAGTTTTACTACTTTGGGGCCTATCGAATTACAGACATAAAATTCAATTCCTGAGGGTTTAGGTAGTTACATTTCTTGGAATATTTTTATAATTCTTTGCTGGTAAGAAATAGTTTGTTAGCAGTTTTATAAAATTCACCCCCTGCCCCCAAAAAAGTAGATTTTTTTCCTTTAGCAAACCAGAAGTTGAGTTGCAGTCCTCTGACCTCCTGTATATCTTTTTTTGGGTTAGGTAACCTTCAAGCTCCTTTAGGTTATGATAAATTTAGCTATTCTTGGAGGAGCAAAAAGGGAACCAAGTTCCATCAGTCCATTGGCAAACACTATTCTTCTGGCTATGGACAGGGAGATGTGCTAGGATTCTATATCAATCTTCCTGAAGACACGGAGACAGCCAAGTCACTGCCTGATACTTATAAAGATAAGGTAAGTTTGCCCTGAGATATTCCTGGGTTTGAAGACCTGTGGCAGCTGGTGCCTGCAGCTGTGGCCTCCTGTGATCCTGACCCACCATTCACATTTTCCCCAACATTTCATTATGAAAATTTTCAGACATAACAAAGTTGAAAGAGTTTAAAAGCCATTATTCAAATACCCATTACCTAAATTCTACTAGTAACATGTTATCCATTTATTCTCCACCCACCCATCCATCCATTCATCTCTTTTTTTAATGCACTTCAGAGAATTGCAGATATCAGTTCACTCCCCACCACGTACTTCAAGATGCACATCATTAGCTAGAGTTCAACCTTTGCTTAGTTTTTTCTTTTGATATAAAATTTACATAAAATGAAATGTACAAATTTTCACTCACTGAGTTTTACGTTTGACCCAAACCCCTATTGAGAGATAGACTCTGTCATCATGGCAGATCCCCAGTCCCACCCCCCATAGAGGGAACTACCTCTCAGGGTAAATTTTAGAATTTTTCCCTTATCATATTTCTTTTCTGTAGGTTTTACTTGTTCTTGATCTTAATATAAATAGAACCATGCAGTACATTGTCTTGCATCTGGATTTGTCACTTGGCATAATGCTTTGTCATCCATGTTGTTGTATGTATCTGTAGCTTGCTCTTTACTACATAGTAGTATTCCATTGTATGAATATGCCACAATGTGTTTATTCATTTTCTATTTTTTTCCAGCTTCATTGAAAAATAATTAACATATCCATTTTCCTTTTGATGGACACTTGAGCTCTTTCAAGTTTTGGGCTGTGCAGGTTCTTGAAGAAATTTCTTTGTCAACATGTTTTCATTTCTTTTGGATCTGTACCTAGAAGTGGAATTACTGGGCCATAGGGTAGTTATGTATCTATTTTTATGAGAAATTGCCAGACTTTCCACTTTCACCAACTACGTGAGATATTTAGTTGTTCCAATGTTGTGGTGGTGAGAGAGTGTATGTATTTATCTGTATGTTTCTTCACAAAACTTATTAGTAAAGGCCTTTTTTGAAAATGTTTAACAAATACGTGCCTTCGATACTTTTTAAGAATCACATAGTTCAAAATCTAGCAAAGCTAAGTCTGCAAAGATTTTTAATTTCTGTTGCAGAGTACATGACTCAGTGCTATTTGTGCTATGTTGCTGATGCTTCAATGAGCCTTTTTTTCCTTTTTCTCTTGGTTTTCAAGGCTTTGATAAAGTTCAAGAGTTATTTGTATTTTGAGGAAAAAGACTTTGTGGATAAAGCAGAGAAGAGCCTAAAGCAGACTCCCCATAGTGAGGTGAGTCATGGTCACAGAAACGTCAGAACTAGAAGACCTTGAAGATTGGGACCAACCCCCTAATTATAAGTGAGGGAAATGAGGCCCAAAGGGGAATGAAGGGATTTTTCTGTTTGCACGGCTAACAGAGCAAGCTCACATTCTACCTACTGTGTTTGTGCTCTTTCTGTGATACCATGCTACTGCTGTCAGAGGGATTACCAGGGTTCTTTCAGGAACACTCTGTAGGAAAGAGGCAAAAACAGTGGTCTAACAAGGAAATCTACAAGTGATTGAGAGAGCAGGTCAGAGATGTTTATTCTTTATCAGGGGAGGTACCAAGTACAGAGAGAGGAACACTGGCATAGTTGAGGAGAGGACCTTGCTGTTATAACCTGGAGGCAGCTAGAGCTATAATGACTTGTTTAGTGTCCTCTAGAACTTCCCCTACCTCCTTGTCCCAGTGTTGTTGGGGACATGTCTACCCAAGGTCATAGCACAATTAAAGAAGGACTGACACATCTGGACCAGCCACAAGGGCCAAAAATAGAAGGGGAAGGGAAGGACGAAAGTTCTGAGCTGGAAACATTTTTCCATAAAAATGCTGTGAAGCCACCTGAATTGATAATAGAAACTAATGTAGGAGAAATTTTAAAAAGACTAGGGTTTCAGCTGAAAAAATAATAAAGGGAAGCAGTTAATAGATCTAAGGATGATACAGCCAGAAAATACAGCAAGCCCTTGAATAACATCACTTTGTCACAACACTGATGAGGTGCTGTAGAAACTTAACTCTCAGTTATATCAATTAGCCTGTGGTAAAATTGGCTTCAAAATATGTTTTGCTACAGTTCCAAGAACCTATCAAATGATGTTAAGTGAGGAATTATTGTACAGCCAGGAAGAAGATTGCTCTTGCTGAGAAGAGACAGAGAAAGTTACTTCAGAAAAAGGAACCTTTCTTACGAAGCTGGATTTTTCTTAATAGTTTATTGATTTTTAGAGAGCGAGGAAGGGAGAGGGAGAGAGAGAGAAACATTGATGTGAGAGGGCAACATTACTTGGCTGCCTCCTACACCCCCCTCCTCCTGGGGATAGAGCCGGAAAGCCGGGCATGTGCCCTGACTGGGAATCGAACCTGCAACCTTTCGGTGCACAGGGCGATGGCCAACCAACTGAGCCACACTGGCCAGGGCAAAAGGAACCTTTTCTGAAGTTCATATATATAGTGGTTAAGAGAATATTCAGGATAGTGTTGGGAGATAAAGGACAAAGAAAATGAAGATTCAGAGACTGACTATCCTGAAATTTTTGAAGTAGAAATGCAAAAGTGAGAACTTTATGCAAGGGAAGGAGACCAAATTACTTTTTACAAATACAGTATAATGAATAATAGAAAGTATAACAGGTAGAAGTAGCATAGGAATGCAGAAAGCAAATAAACCTGAAGACCACCTAGAGTAGTGCATGTAAATAGGCTGAGAAACCTGATTATATAAGATATTATTACACAAGCTATATGCTATTCTTGGAATACATTATCACCAGTACGGTGGCAGCACTTCTGAAGGATTCTCAAAGTGAGTGCTTTTTTTAGTTCTGTTTTTAAATTTTAAAGTAAAACCATGGTTTTTGTTTCAGATAATATTTTATAAAAATGGTGTCAATCAAGGTGTGGCTTACAAAGATATTTTTGAGGGGGTTTACTTTCCGGCCATCTCACTGTACAAGAGCTGCACGGTATGTACCAGCTGTTCATCCTGTGAACAGAATTTGGAGAAATAAGTGACTGGTGGTGGTGAAAGAGCTATTGACTGAGTTCTAGGAAGAAATCTGAATAGCCTAAGTGAGATGGGAGTGTTTCCTGACTGTCACTGTTTGTTCCAAGAACAGTTGGGTATTTTAGGAAGTATTTGCTTGAATTGTGCAATTAGTGTGCCCCATGCTTGTTCTTTGAATGTACTGTGTGGTAGTGTTACTGTTCAGTGTAAAGGCTATAAAGTATTTATGTGCATAAATCAAATTGGCATTTATATGTGTCATGATAACCTACCATCATTAGTTTGTAACTGTTGCTTATATTGATTAAAATATTTATATTTTTATATATATATATAATTCAGTATGAAGGGGACTATCATTAGAGCCTGTTAATTTTTTTTTTTTTTTAAAGTGATTTGAAAAGATAATGCCTGGAAGTTTTCATGTACTTTTAGTCTGTCAGACACCATGGAAGTAAAATAAGGAAATCTTCAGGTTATAAACAGAAATCACATCTATTTTATTTACCTAATTCTTGATGGACATTAAGGTGTTGACTGCTTTTAGCAATATTATTATATATCATTGTTCCAGTTATACCCTGAATGTCACAGCTACCTTTAAAGAGAAAAATTTCCCATGTCCCATTAACTTTTTCACTAAACGCTTACCTTGTTTTGTCATGTCTGCCTGAACTGGATTTATCCCAGGTTTCCATTAACTTTGGACCATGCTTCAAGTATCCTCCAAAGGATCTCACTTACCGCCCTGTGAGTAACATTAAAAATGTCCACATGCATTCTCAGCATCTTTGTAACCTCTTGCTGTAGTTATTCTAATCGCCTCATTTCTGTTTCTCATTTCTCCCACAGATGAGTGACATGGGCTGGGGTGCCGTCGTAGAACATACTTTGGCTGATGTCTTATATCATGTGGAAACAGAAGTAGATGGGAGGCGGAGTCCTCCATGGGAACCCTGACCAGGTCCCTCTTTCTTTGCAGACATGGACTTTCTGGGGAATAACATTGGGTGACTTTCTTTTGTTTTTTTAACTGTTGCAAACGTTATCCTGAAGATACTGCAGAACATAGCCTCTGCTGTTAGCAAGCTGAAAGGCTGGGTGGGACTGGGAGAGACTCCCTGCCCTTCAGTACTCTTCCTGTTTCTGGTGACTTCTTTTCATTTTGTGTGCCATATGCCAACAACTGCTGACCCTAGGATCCCAGAAGCTCCCTGTGAAACTGGTGCTGTACCACGTTCCCCACCACTGGGCCTTGTTATCTTACTGTATTCTCTAGGAGTGGATAATACTGTCCAAGTAGTTAACTTATTTAGAGACTTTTGTTCCCCTGTGGGCATTGACTCCATCCCACCTGATGTGCGGGGAAGTTGTGGGCCTGTTTCTGAGAACAGCTGAATCAATGGCTGTACATACGAAACCAATCTAAGAGCTTTCTTTTGGGTGTGGGTTTGTTTTTGTTATTAATTTTGAAATATACTTTGAACACTGGGATCTCTGAAACTACCATGTCTCTAGAACTGTAATTGTGAAAGGATCTCGCTTTCAGCTTTACAATTAGAAGTTCTTCCCAAATAAAACATGATTAAGTGTGTGTGGCAGTTTGCTTCCCTCTTGGTGACAGTGTCAGAAATGTGGGCAGTCTGAGGAAGGGTAGCCAGCATTGGAGGAAAGAGACAGGCTTCTCACATGTATCTCAACCCCTCTCCTGTTGCTTCCCTTCTCTCCAGCCAACTCAACCATCCCTTTATCCTGTGAAAATCAGACTCAAGAGGTGAAGAAGAGTAAAAGGTTGAGGGTCTCCCTCCAGGTCTTGTCCTTGAACATGTGGATAGGTACATCCAGCTTGTTTTCCTGCCTTCTCTTCTTTGTATAACTGATGATTAAAGGGCAGTTTTCAGAAGCTAAAAACTAGAATGTAAGAAGGAGCATTTCCTTGGGATCCCCCCCCCTTTTAAAAAACACACACGTGTCTATTGATTTCAAAGAGAGGAAGGAAGAGAGAAAGGGAGATAGAGACAGAAACATCAATGATGAGAGAGAGTCATTGATCAGCTGCCTCCTGCACGCCCCACACTGGGGATTGAGCCTACAACCCGGGCATGTGCCCTGACCGGAATCGACCCTTGATCACCTGGATCATAGATCGATGCTCACCCATTAACCACTCCAGCTGGGCGGGGTCCCTTTTTTATACATCTACGGCAGTGCAGTCCTCCCAGGATGGCCCCAAAGACTCCTGCATATAAATTTCTACCTACATTAACAGGTAGAGTGATTCACCACGAGGTAGGTAATCTGTTGCCAAGAATCACCATATGTTATGCCTGTTTAAGAAATTCCCAAAACTTCAAGTGACTGTTGGTGTCTTATCACAGTAGCTTTGATTAATTATTTGTCTCTGAACAAGGAGAACCTAACTCTGCATCAGTATGATCTTAGGCTGGAGTCTCAGCCAGGGATCACACCTGCAACTGAGGTATATGTCCTTGACTGGGAATCAAACCTGAGACCCTTTGGTATGTGGGCCGACGCTCTAACCACAGAGCCACACCTGCCAGGGCTTGTTTGTGGATGGTCTTAAAGGACAGACATGATTATAAAGTTTCTGGATCATCAGAGTTTGAAGAACTTTTAAGGAGATGGTGTTATTTAGAGGAAGTTGGAGGTAAATTCTTTTGTAATATTAATTACCACATATATAATTATGTAGAACACAAATTATAAAATATAATTACCAAATATACAGCCCACTCTCTTTTTAAATGATAAAATTAGATTTTTGTACATTTGGCTTTTGTAAATCAGAGATAACAGGAATAATGATTTTGTTTTTACTTTCATATTTAAAATGTGTGTATGTTTTGATAAGGTTCATTTGAAGGGCTCAGAATACCCACTTGTTACAATACTGTATAAAATGGTTTCTGTAAACAGATCAGCACAACTTATTTTATTCCAAAGTAAAGTTGAACAAGTGGGAGAATATCTCCCCAGTCAATTCCAAGACATGGTTGCATAGTTTGAAGAGGCTAGTTATAATCAAGCTCTAAACCATGTTGTGTGTTAAAAGCCCATTTCTTTACTATTGTCCTGTTCTCTTTTGAAACCAGAGTGTATATTTGCTCTACACATTTTTAAACAAGTAACCATTTTCTCTTATTAGGGAAGAGATGATAGTTCTGTTCTAGGGGATACTTCTACAACTATCCTCTCTCACTCTGAAGCTCCTGGACAGATAAGCAATAATTTCATCTATTCCAAAAACAGACTAAGAAACAATCAGCATAAATAATAATAAATAGCTCTAGTTGTAAAATTTTAGTACCTCAATAAATACCAGAATTTCTGCTACTGCTAATTTGTTTAATAAATAAGATAGAATTCTATTTCCAAATGGTATAAATCACCAATGCTGTTAGCACTAGAATGGAAAAGCTTCACGTGGTATACATTTTAGTAAAATAATGCCATCCCAATTTATATTTTTAAAGCATACATTCTTGGAAAGGGAATTCGATATTACCCCTTCCACCATCTCTCAAAATTGTAAAATATTGATCTACTAAAGCAGAGAAATTGGCATCCCTGAGCCAAGCTGAGAGCTGATACAATATACTAAAGATTCAATTGCCCTGTTAGGTCTAAACAGTCACTAATGGGAAAATAATATTTGTTTTTAACATTATCGTAGTAATAGTGTTCATTCACTGATATTCGGCACTGTCCGTCCTTTTTTATTGAATTTTTTGGGGTGACACTGGTTAATAGGACTATATAGGTTTCAGGTGTATAGTTTTATAATAATCATCTGTATATTGTACTGTGTCCACCACCCCAAGTCACACTATTATTTTAATTAAGTAAATAAAAATCCTCAGTCATAATCTTCATCTTTCAATGCCCATTAATCAGCTACCAGTTATAGTGCTCTTAAGATTTAGGCTTGTGCTTATCGTGGAAATTAAATTTTTATCACAGGTTCTGATAACAGATTCTAAATAATTGAATGATATAAGTCCTTGGTAATTTTTCCTTTTAATGAGCTAGGGGATTTAAATTTAATTAAGCTTTTTGTCTAGGACTCCTTTAGTATGAAGTTGCAGTTTATTCAAGTAGATTTCTTAAGTAGAATTTTAAAACAGGTGCAGACTGAAGTTTTTGTATTATAATTTTTTATTCCGACTGGTGCTCATGGAAGAAGTAGGGAAACCAGTCTAATTAGTGTTCTATTTTTTCGTCAAGAAAACTTGAACTGGGTCTCCGGCTGGCACCTGCTGTGGGGAGTTGCCTGTGCTTTGCTACAGCGCTCTGCTTACTGGATGGGGGGGCAGAGTTGCTGGAGCCCCTCTTTAAGACCCTATGTCCACACACATTGCCTGCAAGGAGTGGAGCTCTTGAGCCCATAAAGCATGAGGTCCCTATCCTTGTATTTAGCACCCTCTGCACCCTCTCTCAGCTAGTAGCATTTTAAGATGTTTTTAGATATAAGGGCCAGAGAAGTTTTACAGATATTTTGAAACCCTTAACCTTCACAGCTAATCAGTGAATGAAGTTAAGAAGGCTCACCCTCTTTATATGAGACCATCCCTATTTTCTTGGTACTAACATTTTACCCGTCTGAGCCCTAGTATAATGTAAGTACACTGCCACCCCAGCCCGCTGTCCCCAGGTGGAGATCTCAAGCAGACTTGCAGGCTTCTGGGAGGGATTTTCCTTATAAGCGCGCAAGCCAATGCAGCAGGAACAGTGGAAAGCAGCAGGCTGGCCTTCAGCACCCGGCTTCAGGAGCAGGACTGGACTCCAGGCGCTTGCGCAGGTGGTTGGCAAAGTCCACCTGGGTCTGTGATAGGACTTGGTTGATGATAGTCTTTGGCAGCCATCCCTAGAGTAGAAGATAGAAGAATTTGGTATCTTGGGGGTGGTCCACTCTGGAGACCTCTGGACCCTATCACAAACATTATGGGTTGGTTTGGTCATGGTCTTCTAGCTCTGTTTAAAGCAGCAACCTTGTAGTTGACCGGAGTCAAGGGCTGGAGGACTGCATTGCTGCCCTGCTGTTGTGCAACTGTCAGAAGCACAGGATTTGCTCTCAAGACAAACAGACCTGTCTTCCCACTCTGTGAGACCCTGAGCTAGTTAGCACACCTTTCTAGGCCTAAGTTTCCTTCTTTCTAAAAGAACTACAGAGTTGAAATTTAATACCAGAGGTAAGAGGGAGCCATTGCAGGCTTTTGAGAGAGTGGAATATAAAGCCATTACTCTAACCTCTTCCCCCTTCAACAGTCTGATTCTCTGTAAATGGAAGGATTTTTTCCTATTCTGTGGGATAATGTGGGAGTGGTAAGGACCTATATTTCCCTCACTACCTTTCCAGTGTGCCGCCTCCCACGCCCCTCACCTTGAGGTCAATGCTGAGCAGCCAAGTGAGTTTGGTCTTGGATGGACTCCCAGCCAGGGGATGGAGCACCATGCAAGTGGGCCCATGTTCAGCTCTGACAATTGAAGAGAAGTCAAGTCAGGAGGACAGTTCCATTCCCATGCTGACGACTTATACTAGCCACACTTCTTGACTGCCTGGTCTCTCCAAATCTCATGAGAGAAGTATCCTTTGCCAGGGGTGATATTTAACAGTTGGCATGGTTACGAGCTTATCAGAACAAATGCTATTTAGAGCTGGAGCTGGAACCTGGAGGCTTCCTGGGTGCATTTTAGTTGCTGGATAACAGAGAGATTGGGGAAAGGGTCCAGGGTGGTGGCTGGGGCCCCTGAGAAACTTAGGTAGCAGCTGCATCCTAAGTGGTGTGGATAATTTAATGACTAGTACAGCCGTACCTGGCCATACCAGCTCAACCTCAGCCCTACCTCTTGCTTCAGAAAACTTTTGAGGTCCTTAAACTTTTGGGGAGGGTCAGGACAAATTGGCTATATAAGTAGGGCTAATCTTGTCTTCCTCCCCTGCTATGGAAAATGAGAATCTTCCTTTGTAAAAGGAAGCTGAGAGTAGGGACCAAGGATTGTTTTTTTGGAGCCAGGGGTTCATCACACGCTTGGCCCCCAGGCCTGGGTTAGGGGGCTTTTGAGCCTGCTGCCAGTATTACCTGATGACACCTTTCTGCTCGGGCATCTCCCCGAACTGTGTGGCCATGCCAGCCAGCACACAGGTGGAGCCTCGGCGCTTGGCACAGCGCACGCTCACAAAGTCACGGGGCCCCACGAGGTTTCCTGCTGATTCTGCAGCCAGCTCATGGGTGATCACTGTGTCTTTTCCAATCTTCTGCAGGACCTACCAGGCCACATGGAACCAGAGTCACTACTTAGCCATTGCTGGGGGTAAGGCACCACCACCCACAGCCTTGGCCACCTTTCAGACTGGGCTCTCCCGGGTTCCTGCCACTCACACTTGGGCTCCCCTCACCTTTATCTCCTTGACATTCGGGTTCCACTCTCCCATTGCCTCCATGCGTTCCACAAGCTCTTCATACAGCCTCTCCATGGGCTGGTCCACCACCACCTCCAGCCGGAATACCTTGCCGACGTCTGGAACCACTTTACTAAGCACTTTGTCCCCATTGGCCTATCGGGGAGCAAGAGAAGCCCCAGGATAAAGTTAGACTAGGAAAGTATTCCTAGTCTAGGGCACTTAAACAATGCCAGGCAAGGCAGGAAGGGGACCGTGAAAAGAACTGTGTGTGTATCAGGAAACCTGGAACTGTTTCTGAGTAAAATAGAGGTGATTTTTCCTACCACAAGCCTTATACAAATGCTGAAGACCAGAGGTGACCTGCCTACTCCTTGGGCCCTTTTTCTTGGTGGTAACTATTGATAGACATGGGCAGGCCCAACTGGAAAGAGCCTGCCTTGACTTCAGAAGCTCAAAGGTCCTGGGAGAGACCAACTCATTACACACAAAGAGCGTTAGATGAGATCTTAAAGATTTTTTTAGTCCAGTACCTCATCCAAAAAAAGATGTAGGGACAGAGATAGGTATTTGCCCAGAGACCCTTAGCTAAGAGCATTGCTGGAGCTACATCCCAGATTCTTGACTCCCATACTGGTGGTCTGTTAACTTGGGGAAGGAGAGGTTTCACCTGAACTTTGGGCAATGGGCAGCATGTAAGCTTTTGGTGAAGATAAAGCCAAAGTCTCAGTAGAGCCACCTGCCTCTAACATATGCCCCGTTACTGGCTCCCAGTGAAGGTGCAGTGCTCGGGAGCAGAGAGCCCAGAAAGCGTGGGCTGTCCGTGTTCTAGTCCAGCCCAGTTGCAGGTGAGCCCAGATCAGCCCTGCAAGCTCAGCCATAAGGCAGGCTGAACACACAGTCACTTCCTTGGCACTGGAACTTCTAGCCCACGGTGGTCTCTGCTGAATAGGTGTAGAGTGTTTTTGGAGGATAGGTAAAGATACAGGAATGATGTTTCTCAAGTATGAGAGTACAGGGTGTCTTTGATGGGGGAAGGGAGTATTTGAGGATATGTTCTTGGGAAAGGAAAATCCTCAAAACCATTTGTTGCCCAGTGACTGCTGCACAAGGCAGGAATTCTGAGAAGAGCAGGACCCCCAGCTGGCCTGGAGGGTGGCAGTGGCATGGTAAGGAACTGTGTGTTCCTCCACACCCTCCCTCACCTGTTGGTTCTCCTTCTTCCAGCCCTCCTGGCTGCTGAGGATGCCCAGGGCCTTCTGCATGGCCTCCTCTCCCTGGTGGATATAGGCCAGCTCCCGGTCATTATAGAGAGTGTCTTCCAGCCGAGAACCTGGATACGCAGCCAAGGAGAGACCAAGTTTCCTACAGGTCCCCTGTCCTCCCACCAGCTCTCCTCCCTTTGATCTCTGGACCTGCTCTTTCCTCTGAAGAGGCAAGACCAAAGCCATAGGATTCAGCCTGCAGGTCAAGTTAGATGCGGCAGCTGCTGGTGACAGGGAGAGGATCTGGCCATGAGGAACTCCATTCCCATCCTCTCAAAGTGATTAAGAATGGCCACAGGGCTGGCTGGGAACAGAGCCACATGCAGTGTTTGCACCCTGGAAGCCTCCTGCCACTGGTTGAAGCCCAGAAGCCTCAATACTTACCAAGCAGAGAGCTCCGCCGCCGGACCTGGTTAATCCATGCACTTGGGGTTGGGCCCCCCAGGGCCCTCCGGTTCAGCTCCTGGCCAATGGCCAGCATGGCTTGGTGCCTCAGCCCTGCAGGAAGGAAAGGAAACTGTTACTTAGGTGTGGGAAAGCCCCTTCCACCCCTTCATCTTGTCACAGTTGAGGAAACTGCCTTGGAGAGGGAAGTGACTTGCTCAGGAACATACAGATTCCTAGCAGGGACCTGAACTAGAGCCGGGTCAACTCCCAGTCCAGGGCTTGCTACACTGCACCAGGCTTCCTCTAGGGCCCAGAAATCTGCCTTCCATCTGGGCTGGCTGTCCCGGTCCTGCGTGGAGGCAAGGGCCACACCAGGGTTTCCTTCTTGAAAAAGGGAAGCTTCATTCAAACCAGAAAAATCCTGCAACAGCAGGAGAATTGAAGATGCCAGTCCCCTAAGGTGTATGTAACTGCCAGCAGCTAGGGTCTTTGCTCTGCTGCTGTCTTACTCCCCTTTCTCTCCTCCCCACCCACCTCTTCCCTGCCCATCTCTCAGGCTTGCCAGGACTGCTTGCTGGAGTCAAGGCTTAGCCCTACCTCTACCACTGTGGCTAGGACTTTCTGGTACCCTTGGGACCAATCCTAGAGGAAGGCTAAGTCAGGAAAAGTGGAAGGAAGATTGGAGCCCTGGAGGGGAGACCAGAAATTACAGAACCTGGAAGGGACAAAGGCATCTTGATCTCTAGCCTAGTTCTTCGCGTGGGAAAATTGAGGTCCAAAAGGGACAAGACTTGGGCAGACTCACCCGATAAGAGGCACAGCTCGGACCAGAGCCTGAGTGGCCTGCTCTCCTGCCCCCTGTCCTGTACTTTCCCCACTAAGCCACATGCCTGAGGCCCCAGTCACCACCGCGAACACCCTCTCCCAGAGGGAGCTCACCCTTCATGTTGCGCACGTGTCTGTAGGAGCTCCCGGCACACAGTTTAAACATCGCTTGGAGCATGGTTTCCTGGTGGCGGGAAGCGGTACTGTTGCGGCTGCTGCTGCCTCTGTGCTCAAAGGTGACTCCTTCCGTCCTCCCTAAGCACGGCAAGGCCTGCCTCTGGGTCCTGCAGCTGTGGCTGCGACCCTGTGCTCTGCATCTTAAATGCACCCAGCTGAAGGCTGTGCTTCATCACCGGGAGATAAAAGAGCCATCAATCACTGTACAGAGGAAGGGGTCAAGGATAGAGGGATTACATCACACTGCTGCGGCCGCCCGCGGGGGCGGAGGGAGGGGAGGGGTAGAGCAGCGCACAGAAAGGAGGAAGGAGGCTGGCGCCAGGCTCAGCCGACGGAGGGGGGAGAGAGAGCGGCTGAGGTGAAGGCGGTTTAGAAGAAAGCAGACACCGTCTGACGGGTACTATTTGAAACAGATTTCTAGCCCTCATCGCCAGAAACTCCAGACTCAGTAGGTCCAGAGTTGAGGCCCTGAACCCTGTACTAAAAATAGAATGTCCAGGTGATCGCCATGCAGGTGTTCTGTGAACTGCACCCTGGGCTTTGGGAGACGCCGCCTAGGACAGTGCCAGGGTGTCTGCTAAGCACTTAGGGGGTTGGAGCAGGTAGAGGCCATCCAGCCCCTGGGTGAGGAGCCCAAAGTCCAGAGAGTGGAAAGGACCTGCTCAAGGTCACACACGTAGTCAGTGGCAGGGCTAAGACAGCAACACAAATCCTCAGTCCATCTTTACACAGTTCTCGGAAGCCCCCAGACACTGTGTGTGTTCAACTGTTCAATTATTTACTCAGCCATGTAACAGCTTCACCAAAGCCCTGTTCAGAGATAGTTCCCCCTCCTTAGGGGTTTGTGCTGGTGCCAGGAGAATACCTCAGGGCTGAGTCCTGTATGCTCGCAAAGCAGAGGGTAGAACTGGCCACAGACACAAGAAGAGGAACCTGGGCCTGGCCACTCTGCACCCTTCCCCTCCCTCTCCCCAAGCACCCAGGTTGGGCAGGCTGCACCCTAGGGCTTGGCATGAGCAGAAAGGCGGAAAAGACAGTGTCGTGGGGTGCTCACCCGAGTCTGCACTCTGGGGGCCTGTGCTCTAATCAGAGACACTGGAGGCAGCAGAATCTTCTCTGCTGTTCCCCATATCATCACCCCCCCATCCCACCCTGCCCCGTCAGTGGAGGAGATCCCCACCCAGCCTGCATGCTGTCCTCTGATGAAATCTTTCCCCTTTAAGATTGACCTTGAGGTTGATTTTAAACCAGATTCATCCGGCAACAATATTGGGAGGTCGAGAGAATCACATTGACTCGCTCTTCACCCAGGGTCTGCCTCCTGTGTGTTTTGTGCCCTGTCACCACTGGGCACAGAGGGAAGGTCTAAAAAGTGGGGAGCAGTAGCAGCCTCCGCCCCCCACTGTCTCTCTTACTCCAGAAAGGATGAAAGGGACGGGACCTGCTCAGAGCCAGGCCTGGTGCCCGGAGCCCATACAGACCAGGGTGAGTCCCACACCGCCCATTTCAATCCCTGGTAAAGCAGTGGAAAGGGGCCAGCAACTCAAGAGGCCCTCATCCTGGGCTCGTCTCTCACCAGCAGCGGCCCCGAGGCCCTTGGCCCATTCCTCAGGCCCACCGTGGCCGGCCTCTGTACAGCCTTCCTTCTGGAATGACTCGTTCCTTACTGTCAGCACCCCTAGAGCGGCGCATCTCCGCCCTGATTTGTGGAATGGTTTGTGTGTGCTCCCTTGTCCCTCCCGTGGGACCGTTTGTCCCCGAGCAGGCGCAGGCCCCTCAGCCNTCCCTTGTCCCTCCCGTGGGACTGTTTGTCCCCAGCAGGCGCAGGCCCCTCAGCGCCCTGCACTCAGCTTCGGGAGGGCCCTGAGCAGGCTGTTGCTGCCTCTCTATTGGGTGATCAATTGGGGAAGCAGCTGGGGGCGCGAGCGTGGCCTTCGAATTAGGAAACCTGCCCGTGGGCTTCGTTTCCAGCCCTCAGAGAGAGAGGACGAAGGGAAGACAAGACCAAAGGAAGAGGCCTGGGCCAGCGCTGTTCATGTGGGGAAGGGGGGTGATGGGGGCTTTGCCTGCCTTAGACTTGGAAAGGGGAGGTGTGGGTGGTGCTGGGACGCCGCTCCTCCCTCCTCAGTACACGTGTGCCCTCCTGCACGTGCGTGTTCCAGCGGAGGGGGTGCGGAGGGGGTTTTTGTGGGACAGGCCCTGCAGATAGTGTTCAAGGCCCCGCTGTTGCCATCCTGCGGAGAATTATGGCCACTGTGAGAGGGGAGGAGGTGGAGCGGGGAGACTGGAGGACTGAGGCATAGGGCTGTTGCTGATGTCAGAGGCAGCCACTGACTCAACGGAGGAGGGTGCGGGTGACCTCCGCCAGGGCCAAGGCTTTCTTCTCCCTCATCCTTTCCAGGCCGAATGACTAGTTAACTCTCACTGTCCCTCTGAGTAAGGAGGGGAGAGAGGTCTGGGAATTTCCTCTGGTTCTGGATGTCACCTGTATCTGGCTTTGTTTTTTTTTTGATGAGGGCAGAGCCCCCCGGGGAGATCAGATGGAAGAGGTCGGGAAGGAAGATACCAGAGATCTGGCTCAGGCTGTGCAGTGGGGAGAGGAAGGCCCCGTGGTCAGGGGAGGGAGGCAGGGGGAGCAGAAAAGAAGACTCCACTCCATTAATTCATTCATTCATTCATTCATTCATTCATTCATTCATTCATTCAACAATCCTTTATTGAGTGTCTGCTGTGTGGTTCTACAGTTATGAGGAAAATGAACTATGTGACCCAAGACGGAAAGTTGTAGAGCAGATGAGGGGTCTTGGAAGTACAAGGGGATGGAACACCTAATTACACAGAGAGAGGGAGGAGTGTTATGGAAGGCTTCTGGGAGGAAGTGACATTAGAGCTGAGTGTGGGAAGTGCAATAAGGAGTTAGCCAGCTTTGAGATAGAGGATGGGGTGTGGGTGTTCCAGGTAGAACGAAAGGCCAACAGCACGGAGAAGGGATCTGAGGGTTGAGAGCTGGGTGTCCTGGGGAACTTTGGTGGTTCAGCCATGGAATGTTCGTGGGTTGTTGTGGAAGATTCCTCTGCAGGTTCCTAGGAGGCAGAGGCTGAGGTGAAGAGAGGCACCTTTAGCTTGTCTGGGCCCCAGCTCAGAGCAGGCGAGTGCTGGGCAGCAGCACCTGTCTTTGGGTTTATTGAATGGTAGTGGGGATGCTGTGAATTGGAGTGGAGAAAGCACAGGTTTAGTGTTCAGAGACCTCCAGTTCTTGCTTACTTTTTAAATTTCAACTTTCTTATCTGTAGAATAGGGATATGTTTCCTTTTTTTTTTTTTTTAATCATCACCCAAAGATATTTTTTCCATTGCTTTTCAGAGAGCGGAAGGGGGGGAGAGAGAGAGAGAAACATCAGTGTGAGAGACACATCAACTGGTCAACTGGTTGCCTCCTGCATGAGCCTCAACAAGGGCCTGGGATGAAGTCTGCAACCGAGGTACTTGCCCTTGGCTGGAATCAAACCCAGGACCCTTCAGTCTACAGGCCGACGCTCTAACCACTGAACCAAACTGGCTAGGGCTTCTTTTTCCTTTTGTAATCCTTTGAGGGTGGTTTTACCACTTAAATGAGGTAAAAATACATCAAGAGCCCATAAGATGAAGTGCAGACTTCTCAGCCCAATCTCTGGGTCCTCTGAATTCTCACCCTGGCTTTCTTCTCCAGTCATGCTCAGCATCGCGCTGAGGTGCCCGCCTGTGGTCTGCCCCATTTGTACCCTCTCCACCTTCAAGGCAGCTCACAGTACTGTCTGTCCTCAAGGGCTTCCCTTTCTGTCCCACATCACCCTACTTTTTCATTAGAATCCAATACTTTTCCCTTTGGGTCTCCTTAATAAATGTTTGTCAGTAAGACTATTGCCCATCCCCCCCCTTAAAAGATTTAATTTTTTAGAGTAGTTCTAGGTTAGCAAAGTTAAGTGGAAGGTACAGAGATTCCCCATACACCCTCTGTCTTCCCTGCCCCCACATAGTTCCCCATTTTTTACATATCTGTAAACACCATAAGGAGTTTTTGCATTTTCCCAAGTTTTTGAATAACTAGCACTTAGCACAGTGCTAGATAACTAATAGACACTGAATAAATGCTTAATGATTGGAAAGCATAGAACTTGGCACTTTGTAGATTCTCAGCAAACGTTGACATTGTCCATCTCTTAAGGATGGCCAGCCTGAAGGTGAGGGCAAACCTTGGACTACTTATAGGGTATATGCTTATTTAATATAGAGAGAATGGAGTGTTTTCCTCCGAAGGGGCCATTATGAGAAGGCAGCAGGAAGTTAAGGAAAGTTTGACTCTTTGGATTAGAAGTAATTATTGATTACCTTCCTTTAGAGTACATTTTATGTAACCCAGCATTTAATTCCTTAATCTGAGTAGGTTGCCATCATTTAACAGGTATAATTCTTATTTGTACAGGGGCAACTGTGAGTATAGGCTCACTGAGGGTATGGAATCTCTCCCGCGAGTCTGGCACTGCGCTGGGGATTCAGTGGGTGCTAATAATTGCTAATGAGAACTCCTTCTGTGCCAGGCGTTGTTCTAAACCCTTTACACACATTAACTCACCTAATACGACCACCACCTAGGGAGTTGGTACAATTATTACCCCTGTTTTATAGACGAGGAACTGAGGCACTGAGAGGTCAACAGCTTGACCAGTTCAGAAAGCTATTTACATAAAGAAGCCAGGATGCAAAATCAGGCAGTCTAGTCTGTGTTCTTGGTTACATAGCTTAACTTTTAAAAAAAAATATCTTTCTTGATTTCAGAGAGAGGAAGGAGAGGGAGAGAGAGTTGAAACATCAATGATGAGAGAGTCCTCAATGATCAGCCGCCTCCTGCGCGCCCCCCAGCTGGGGATGGGCCCCGCAGGTGAGCCAGGTTTCTTTGCCCAGGGAGTTTGACAGAGAACATAAAGCTTCCTCTCTTTTATAATAGCCTAAACCAGAAGAGCAA